CCCCCATTCCACCTTGAGCCGGCCGCCGTTCTTTGGCGGCTGTTAGCTTAGCATTCTTTCCCAGTTGTTTGGCAACAGCGACCCCGCCGACCCCTCGTCCGAGATCAACCTGTCAAACGAAAAGGCCGCCAAACCACACACACAAAATAACACACCCATAAACATAGGAGAACACACACACAAAAGCGAACATAAGAACACACACACACACACACACGCACGATTGTGGGGGTCGGGCTGCGTCCGCCATGACACTCAAGTGCCTTGAGACCGAGCGGGAGTTTGCCATCGTTGCGGCAACCGGAGGAGCGGGACCGGCAGGAAAAGGACGATTCCCCAAATGCGACTTTCCTGTGGGTCGGATGCGCCCAAAGCAGGCGCGGGTGAAAGGTTTAACGCCTTTCCCAAGAGATCAAGTCCACGATGTGGAACTTATTTGTCAAACAAGCACAACTACAAATGCTAGAAATATTTTTCCCCCCCTCCCAGTCCTGTTAGAGGCGAGGAAACGTCAACTTCATTCTAGGGATGAGGATGACATCGGCGCGAGGACGGCTCGCTTTTGGCGACTCTTTTCCTTCCTTCAGCATGTTTGACAAACCAAGTGTTGGACTGGAGACAATAAAAGTGATTTTTGTCAAGTTGATGCGATGATGTCATCACTCGGGTTGCTTTCTGAAAAAGCCTCGCCAACGGCGAATCGCGAATGGGCGGGGCTCCGCTCGCAGCAGGGAGCATTTACCATTTGCCACCACTAGAGGGAAGCAGCAGCTCTTTCCTCAAGTTTGACTACAAGTGTCACACTTCGGGAATACGTTTATTTCTTCTTATTTATCGAAGCAACTTGCGTTTCCGACGACACATTGCGAGCTGAAAATGAACGTGTAATTGTCTCGTAGTCAACGAAACAAAAGGAGCATTTATTATCCACGTCGCTGAACTGAAAATGGGGTCCTTGCGAGTGAATCCGAGTTCTCTTTTTTCGAGATCAAAGTCCGAACCGGTTCCACGCCTAGTTGTGACTTTGACTAGTTTCTTTTTGGCAAAATCCTGTCATAGCCACGAAGTGTATTTTGAGAATGACCAATAAAAAGTTGGCCCTCCTTTGCAGCAGCCTACAGTTGTTTTGGGCCTTGGACTGCGGTGGATTTTTGCTGCTGTTTTGTCTCGAAGAGAGTTTCCGCCCCCTTCCGACCCCTCGCCGGCACGTGCGCGCCTTGAGCCAAAGCGACGACGTCACGCGTCACAGATGATGCGCCGTGACGTCACGGACTCGCGGCAGGTGAGGTGGCGGCGGCCTTTTTTGCGCGCGACGACGAGCTTCTCCCGAGCGACCGGCACAAAATGGCGGCTCCCGCCGGTTAGACGCCCAGGCAGTAAGTTGGCAAAGCGCCTCGCGAGTCACGTGACTCGCGTCACGGGAATCCAACTGCACACCAATCGACTCACATTACACCGAGAAGAAGACACTAGAAACCGACCAGGTCCAAATGTGAGTAGAAAGTAGAAACTCGGGCCCCGAAAGAGGCAACTCGAGCAAGCTCTGTTGAGGCTGCGGGCGGGGGCGGGGCTGCGGCGACGTCACGCCTCTGCGATCTCCGACGCTGTCGCCCGGTCCGGCGATTGACTTGAGTGGCAAATCGTTCGAGCGTTGACTCGGCACCTCCGAGCAGTGCAGTCGCTCGGTCGTCCATGCGTTAGTAGCCGGCCTGATTTGTTCTCGTGGTCTTGGTGCGAGTCACCGTCCAGTGTCAAACTTCAGACGAGCATCATCGGACGGACCTTGTCAAGGCGATTTCACCATCGGTTTCCTGTGACAAAATATTCACAAAGTGCAAATTAAATCAAAGTGTCTGGAGCTTTTTTTTCTCGTATACATTTTCATTTCATATTCTCGTATCAATGTTAAGAAACCGCCACTCTACTAGTGCGGTGAATTGCGTCTACTCGTGCATGGACGAGCAGCATATCCAAAAATGCTTCTTATGCAGCGGAGGTTGCGCGAAGACAGAAAATCGGATGACGCAAGTTGATTTTGCAGCGATGCCTTGAAATACGTTGTGTCTAATTGCATTTAACTTGGAGTGCCAATTCAACTTTTCTTTTTTTTTCTACATGCCAAGAATGCGTTGGCTGTGGCAGAAGTCATGAAAACGATGATGTCATCACCCAAGGGCCCAATGGCAGATTATCTTTGGTTTTTATTTTTTTGACATCTTCAAATGTGTTTGTTAATCCCCGCTTAATTGGTTTCCATTTTTTTTCCGATGGACACAATATTTGCCAGAATATGGAACATTTTTGTCTTCCTGATTGCAAAAAAAAATACTTATTGAAACCGATTTTTTTGGGTGAGCACACCAACATTTTTCATGCAAAATACTTCTTGACGGTGTACCTGTATATAGTCAAGATTGTTGTTTTTTTTTTCCTTGAATGCAACTACAATAGATGTCAATTCTCTGGAGGTTTTTCACAGCCCCCTGTCCCGTGTTTTGACTACTTCTGGCATGTCCAACAAATTTTTGAAAACGAACAAACTAACTAAAATGCTCGTGACAGCGCTCCGATCTGAAACGCTTGCTCACCAGTCAAAGCGCAAACGACGGCTCCTGTCTGGCAAAACTCTGAAGGGGGTATTCCGCTCGTATCTCAAGGCGCCGCCGCAGTCGCGAGGTGGTGACGACCGTGGACCCGCTCTACTTGTCCAATCACATCGTGAGTGACAGGTCGACCGGGTCCACTGCGCTGCCCCGTGTCAACTTTCGAATGAACTTGTAGTGTGTGACATTGGCCACGATGTACCGCTGTTCCCTTCGACAACATTGGCGGCATCGCCAACGAGAGGAGCGATGAGGCGCACGGCGGCCGCCACGCCAGCCAGAGGCCCCGGTCCGCACGCTCGCCGCTAAGCCGGGTTTTAAAAACGACAACCATTCCCTCGCTCTGCCATCTCACACTCGCGGCAGACAACGAGGCGCTCTTAAGCAGCAACTCCGTCTACCCGCGTAAATCCACGGTTGCGCCTCTGATGCGTCGGGTGTGAAAGGGGCCGGTGACAGCGCAGAGCGGGCAGTGGGCGCTGCCTCCTCCTTCACCACTGTAACCCCGCCCCCCTTGTGTCGGGCAGCCATGATAAGAAAAAGTTCCCGCCTGGAGTCATCGGGCTACTACAGGAGCGACGGTCAGCCCGTCATCTCGTACAAGGAGACGCCGTACAGGTAAGCAGGTGTGTTCACATTGGCGCACTTTGACATCCCGTCGACCGCGTGTCACACGCTCGTTCCTACGTCAACGTGGCCGCCATATTGGATGTGTGACAACGTGGAGCACCAGATGGGAAGAAATCGTGTCAATGTATGAGACGGGAATTTGCTGGGTGGTTATTATGATACCCTCCCCCTGGTCTCCAAACCGCAGTGGCGCCCTCGAGGTTAACGCCGCCGAGGGCAGCTGTTGTGACGGATTTGGTCCGGCATCGTTGGGATGAACGCTCGTAATCGTTTGATGCCGGAAGCCCTTCCTGACGCAACTCTCTGCATTTACCCGGGGTGGAGGCCACCGGCCTACGGTTGGCACCGGTTTGCGGCCCCCAAGGGGCCGCATAAGAGCATTTCCCCATATTCCCCCCCTCACATGTGCCAGTCATTTTTGACCAAGTGGGGAAAATACCTTGAAAAGGGCCACTGGGGGCATTTCTGACCCCAATTTTCTCCCAAAGCTGCCAAAAAAACATCAGAGAATGGCCTGTGACCGTTTAACATGTGAAATCCTCAAACGAAAACCATTTGGACCGCATTCCGCTACGCTGCCACATCCAATCTGGCCAACACGCTGGCGTACGACAGCGTCGGGGCCCAGCCGCCTACGGCGGGGTCGACGCATATGACGTCTACGCCGCCGCTCGCCCTGTCGTCGCAGGAAGCTGTGGACTCGGAGCCGCGCTCAGCAGCGCCCCCGCAGGGTCGCCACGGACAACGCCAAGGACGACGCCCCGCTGTCCGGCAGTCCCGTTGGAGACGTCAGACGGGCGCCCAGAAGAAACGGAGTGCTGCGCTTGGCACGGAATTACCTCATCCCCATTTGCATCCCTATCGTCTGGATCTGTGAGTATTCGCGATCGTCCCGAGACAAACTTGTAGTCCTGAGTGGCACTCTTGTCCCGGGCGAAGGTTCTGGTCTGGAGAGAAGGGGGAGAATCCCGAGAGTCGGTTCTCACACCGAGTCTTGTTGGCGTCCACGGGCGCTTGTGGCCGTGAGAAAGTGGTTGTCGCCCAGCAAAACTGCTATTACGTTTGCCGGCGGTAGTCCACAGGGAAGGTTCCGGTCCAAATCGAGGTTTTTAGTCCCACGATAAATTTGCGGTCCAGAGAGAGAAAGCCACGGTCGCAGGAGGAGGTCAATTAGAAATCCGAGATTGGTGTCATCTCAAAGGAGGCCCCTAGTCATGAAAGAAGCTCGGATCTTCCCAGGAGAAATGTTTTTTGTCGAGCGTTCTTGTCCAAGGAGGAAGTTGAGGTCCAAAGAAAAACTTCTAGTCCAATACAAAGGCCGTGGTCCAGAGCGAAGGTTCTTTTCACCAGATAAAAGTTCTCGTCCAAACGCAATGTTGAGTCCAATGTGAAGCAAAGGTTTCCTCGCGAGTTCTCGTCCCGAGAGAGGCTGGCAGTCCTGACAGATGGGACAGAGAAAAGGTTCTCGTCCAGGGAGGGGGTTCTCGCTCCAAAGGGTTGCGATTCAGAGAGAAGTTTCTAGAGACTGAGCGATAGGTCCAAGTCCATTGTCCGGAGAGAAATTGACGTCCCCGAAGAGGGCTCCAGACTCAAGAGAAGGTGTTAGACCCGACATCATGTGCCAGTCCAACGATGGCCTGTACCCGACTTACGAGGTTCGAGTTCCAAAAGAAGGTTGTCGTCCGAAGTGAGGTTGGAGTCAAAAATGCAGGCGGTAGTCTTCAGGAAAGGGTCGCACTCCAAGCAAACTTTCGAGCCCGGGAGGAGCTTGGCCGTCTCAAGCAAAGCTCGGAGTCTGGAGAGGAACTTTGAGTCCATTGCGAGGAATGTAGTCCGGGTGAAGGCTGTAGTCCAGATCGTGAGGGTGACAGACCCGCCAGAAGTTTCCACTCAGAAGTTTCCTCGCGTCGATTGTCGTCTCGTCCTCAAAGAGGGTTTTTGTCCAAAGAGGAGCTTGTGGGCCCAGGAAGCGTTTGCAGTCCAGAGCCAATCTTCTGAAGGACGGTTGGCTTGCGGTCCCCGCCAGAAAGCTCCAGTCCTCAGTTCGGACCCGGCTCTCGAGATACGGTTCTCGGGTTCCGCCCCGATGAATCTTTCCGGTCTCACGGGTCATTCATTTCCTGTTTCCAGTGTGCGAGCCCTTCATTCGACAGATGACGGGCGGCCCGGCTCCCTCCAACTTGGTACGGGCCCCTTCTTCCTTCCGCGCGTATCGCCGAGCTCCCCCGTGCGGCGAGCCCTCTAACGACCCCGCTGTGCTCTCGGCAGCTCTCCGGACGCGGCAACGAGCTGTTGGAGGAAGTTTACGGAAAGTACAACGAGCTCAAAGCCCTCCTCAACAGCTACGAGGAGCTGATGCGCAAAGATGACAAGGCGCCGCTGTGGGCGACCATTCCCAACTACGCCCTCCAGTCGGCGGGTGAGTATCCGCCCATTGAACGGTCTCGTGAGCGTCCCGTTGTCTGATCTCGAGCCCAACGCACCGAGGCGCTGTCGAGGCCCACAAATGAAGCGCTGGGACAAATGTGAGACAAATAGGACAGTCATGTGACAAACGTGGAAGTAGCATGAAGCAAGCCGATGCGACAAACGCGGGATAAACCGGCCCGCCGCCTGGCCAAGGGGGCGCCCGCTGACCCCGCTTGTGCGAATGCCCGACGAAGCCGCAGCGGCGCCTGTTTTGCTTTGTCGTCAGGCGCCAGGGTGCTGTGCAGCGCCACGTCGCCGTCGTACAAGGTGAAGACGTCCTACATGTCCATCCTGGGCCTGGAGTGGGACTTCCGGAAGGCCGTCCGGCCGCAAGTGGTCATCGAGGTAAGCGGCCGCGCCCGCGCCGGAGGCCCCTCCTTCCGCGCGGCCTTCACGCGCCGGCGTTTGTTCCTCAGGGCAAGTCGGAGCTGAACCCGGGCAACTGCTGGGCCTTCGCCGGCCAGCGGGGCAACCTGACGGTGTCGCTCTCGCACGCCGTGCACGTCACCGGCGTCACCCTCGGACACATCGCCAAGAGCATCTCGCCCACCGGCGACATCCCACACGCGCCCAAGGAATTCTCCGTCTACGTGAGTACGACCGCCCGCGTACGGACAAACTGGTTGCCGGTCGCTTTTGGGCCGCACGCGCGCATCTACGGACAGATCGCGGACCGGTAGGGCGTCACGGCACACGCGGGCGCACGCCCGACTGCTCACTTGGCACGTATTGACAAACAATTGACCGGTCCCCGGTCAGTCTCATCATGCAAACAAACAATAGAATGGTCGCCAGCAATATCGAGGCGCATTGAGACAAATTGTGGACTGGTCGCCAGGCAGCGTCAGGGTGCATCTCGATAAATTGATGACTGGTTACCAGTCCACGTCCGGGCCCGGCTCGACGACGAACGTGCCGGTGGCCGAGCGCGGGCTGACGGAGATTGGTCCCCGTAGGGTTTGGAGTCTGCGGAGTCACCCGCCGTCAAACTGGGAAGCTTCAAGTATGCGCAGAACGGGCCCGTGTTCCAGAACTTCCGAATAGCCGTGAGTACGCCGCCGCTGCCGCCGGCAAAGAAAAAAAAAAAAAAAAAAGCCCAAATTTCCAAATCTTTTTTTTTTTCCTCTTCTGGGATTTTTTTGTTTTTCTCAACAGCAGACAAGCTTTGAAAACATTTTTTTTGTCAGCATTAATTAACTTGCATCACCTTCCACAGATTAAAACACAGTCAGGGCCTCCTTGTGGGCGGAAAAAGCTTTTTTTCCGGATGTTTTCCTCATTCAAATCTAAAAAAATACAAATAAAAATAAAAAAAAGAAGAAATTACAGTCAAGTAAAAATGTGATGACAACTAGATTTCTATCCAAGACATATTTGAAAGCGCTTTCACAGAAGCTGTATGAGAAAAATATGAAAGAAAAAGTGTGAGCAAGTCTGACAAAAAAAAAAAAAAAATTGCAAAAGGAACGTTTGAAAAAGTGTGTCAAAATGATGGCAAAGGTTTCTGAGAGTTGGCAATGCGCTGGTGTGGCAGGACAAAGGCGCCTTCGTGAGCACGCACGTGATGCTGAGCGTGCACAGCAACTGGGGCGACCCCACCTACACGTGCCTCTACAGCTTCAAGGTGCACGGGCGCCTGCCGTCCTGAGCGCTGCCCGCCCGCGCACCGTGAACACGCGACACCCGCATCGCCCGCTCGCCAGGCGTCCAAACGGGAGACCGCTCCGCTCGCAGCGAGCGGACGTGACCTCTGCGCGGGCGCGGCTGACCTTTTCTCGCAACGCACTGGCACTTTCAAGTCACCGGGATGCTTTTAGCGTGCTCGGGTTGCTATGCTAGCAACGCTGCACTTTACATACAACATGTGCAATACTGTGTATTTCTACTTTTATATTTATTGGATTCAGATGGACATTTTTCAATGTAGGTTTTTTTTTTTCGTATCAAAACTGCAAAGCGGGACTGCTCGTTTGCTCATCATGACAAGAGTAATCATGTCCTGGTCGATGTCAAATAAAGTCCAATCCTGATTTGTAGGTGGAGTATTTTGTTCGGAATCATTTCCCTTTTAAAAGACCATGTTCAGAAAAAGACCATGAAAAAAAAAACAATCGGAGGGGTGAAACAGCCAGGATGAACTTGCAATAAATCAACAAATAAGGGGAAAGCCATCCAAATAGGTTTAATAGGCGTCAAACAAAAACACAAAGAAACGAAGCGATTTCAAACGGGCCTTTGCACTATGGGCCCCGAATTTTTTTGCACAATCCCATCATTCAGGATGATACCTCTGAATGTACACATGTCAAGAATGTCTTTTGGCACAAGAAGTCGGACACCTCCGGTGTCCCCCAAAATACAAGACGGCATTTCGCCACGTTGCGACGTCTTCGAGTTGTCCTTGGGGGTGGAAAAAGCGAGGGCAAACCGGCGCGCCCGATCATTCAGTTCTTCCAAAAGTTGGGGTTCTGACTCATGCGCCTCTGAAAGTTCTCGTACCACTTGAGGATGCAGCTGGACGGCACGAAGGTCTCGTTGGGGTTGAGCGTCATCTGCGCCTGCGTCACGGCGAACGACGACGCGAAGTTGTACAAACTGTCCAGCATCTTTTGCGTGAACAGCCGCAGCGTGTCCGCGGTGGACGCCGCCGCCCCGGACACCGGCGTCTGCTGCGCCAGCTGCTCCAGCGGCTCCACCGACACGCCGACCTGCGCAACGGAGGGAGCGGCCGACGCCACGCAGCCGAATGGGTGCGCCCCGCCCCGGTCCTGGGCCGCCGTCAGCCCCGAGATCTTGAAGATGGCGCTCGGCTTGTCGTTGGCGATGAAGCCGAGCAGCTGCCACACCGGGCCGCCGCTCGCGGGGTCCGGGAAGGAGAAGTAGACCGCGCCGCCCATGCCGGCGGGGAACGGCACGGTGCCCAGCATGAACACCACCACGTGGTTCACGCTCTCGTAGTCCGGCAGGTTGAAGACAAATTTATCCGAGGCCACCTGGGCCGCGTCGGTCTGCACCAGCCGGCCGGCCACCAAGCAGCCGAACATGGCTTAGCCGCTCGCCCGGTTCCCGGCCTTAGCTTAGCTCTAGATGCTAGCGTTAGCCGCTCGGGGTCCCTCTGTCGCTTCAGCTGCCGACGTTAGCCAATGTACAAGTTCCCGGATGTAAGTTTAGCCGCTAGAGCTAGCCGCCGTTCGAGTTCCGGCTGTAGCCTTATTAGCAGCTAGCTGCGGTCCTCGCCCGGCACCGTCCGCTCGTCGCTTCTCGCTGACAGACTGCTGCCAGTTCGCCTGACTGCAACGCAACCAATAGACGACGGTAGAAAGTTCGAGAAGCTTCCTCGGGTCCGCGGTCGCATTTGCTCGGCTATCGATTACAATCCCTGAGCTCGAAGCTAAACAACGTTGATGAGTAAGGACCACCAGGACATTCTATATGGGAAACAAATCCTTATTTTTTACCCTCAGTGGCCTTCACGTCATTTTTGCTCGGTCAGTGGTCTAACCTAAATGGGTCGCTTTGGAACTTTGGGGAATGTAATCTTGTGATCAGGACGATCCCTGCTGGCTCTGGAGTTTTTATACAGAAATTCGGCAGGACTTAAACCAAATAAAATTGTATTGCTACTGATTCAACCCAATTGAAAGACAGTATGTGGCATTTATTTCTCCTCCACAAGCAATAATAAACGTCATCACGTGCATTGTTTCTCAACTCAACTGTATTTAAAGAACACTTTCAAACAGCCATCGCTGCACACAAAGTGCTGTACATGGAACACCTAATATATACAACAGTAAAGCAACAAGTCAGTAACAAGACTGTAGAAAGCACTGAACAGCAAAACCAAGAACAAATCTGAGTCACGCTGAGTCAAATGCCAAAGAATACAAGTGAGTTTTGAGGCGGCTTTTAAAGATGGGCAGCGAGGAGGCTTGCCGAATGTTCAGTGGGAGGTCATTCCAGAGAGAGGGACCAGCAACGGAAAAGGCTCGATCCCCACTGAGCCTCACTTTAGTTCTTGGTACTTCTAATAATGTCTGGTCCACAGACCTGAGGCGCCAACAACGTTTTGTCATCAAAATAAGAGACCTTATAAACTTTAATAAAAAAATAATCGAAGTGAAGTGGTTGCCTTTAAAAATGGACATTTGTGGATGCGATACATTACCCAGCTAAAATAGAAAGGTTTATAAGAATTTAAAAAATTCATACATCCTTGAAGTGGGACGTGTTTTTTAATACTCGTTAATTCAAACTAGTCCACGTTTACTCCAAGAGCTTATTGTTAGATGTTTGCACACCGTCACGTAAATATCATTATCGGCTATTAAAAGGCGCGACGACGAATACTTGACTGAGAACAACTGAATAAAAATGAAGATACATTGCAAATCAAATCAAGGGTCGGCAGCGTTTGTGAAATGTCCGTGTGAAGAGGCGGTACCTGAACGTCACACGGGCCGTGGGCTCCTTTCCATTTTTTGCGCGTGACCGTGTTAGCGTGCGTCAACTTGTGTGTGTTGTTTTCCGGCCCCGCTGTCTGTCCGCTCGGCCCAATCTGACCTCTTTGGTCCATCTCGCTGGAAATGGACGGATTAGACGCGACCCACGACTGTCCGTGATACTTTCTTTCCCCGCGGCACGGAGCGACGATTCCACCCCCCCACCACACGCACACACACACGCACACACCGAGAAAAGCCAGGGTGAGTGTTCGTCCGGGACCGGGCCGGCTCGTGTCTGCTATCCCGCGGGTGTGTTGCGGCCTGGTAGCTCTCTTGGAACTCGAGGCCCGAGGCTCGAGCGTCAGGCCGCGCGTGTTTTCGGCGTGCGGCTTCGCCGGGGTGACCGCGATGGCCGAGCGGGACTTGTCGTGGCCACGGTAGTCCCAGGCGGCGGCTGCGGTTTCGGGAAAAAAAACACGGGCGTGAATTTGAATGACGAGGAAGATCAAATTGACGTGGCAGTGTTGAAAATTGTTAAGTCAGCTTAGTGCTGGATAAGCTAGCGTGGTGTTAGCCAGCGGCTAACACCAGGCGATTCGACCCTCCGGTGTGCGTGGAAACTCATTCAAAACACGTCTTCTCAACCTCGTCGGTTGTTTCGAGTGTTTTCTAGTACTCGGGCTTGAGCTCGGCGGCGTGACATTTGCGATTTTGACTTCATGTTGTTTGTTGGCGCTAGCGGCCCGGCGGGCTGAGATGCTAACATGCTAAAGCTACTCGCCTGCTAGAGCTTGTTTGTGACCAATAGTCAAGTCTGAGGGGGAG